CGCCCCCACTTGGCAGCCCTACCCACAGTATTGCCTCATCCCAACCCGAACAGGGAAGACAGGAGCTCACGAAAAGCTCTACTCTACTGTGTAGCTTAGGAAGAGGTTGAAATGTCCTGTGTAGCTTAGGAAGAGGTTGAAATGTCCTGACCCACTCCTCTTTTAATGTAAAAGGTCTTTGCACGGTGCCCTAAGCTTATCTCAGAAGCATCTACATGCAAGGAATACTGCAGCATGCTCACCATGTAGGCTGATGCTATACCAAGTGCATTGGTACCTAAGGTGCCACTCCACTGGTGTAGCAGTGATTACATTATAGCAGTGGAGGGAGGCAATGGTTACTAATAGCCCCCTCACACCCCTGACTGCCCAATCTGTGCTTCTACCCTGTTCCGGGGGTTTTCAGAATTTCAGGGCTTTAGTGGGCTATAACAAGAGAGGAAATGTGGGGAGCTCCTGCTCTGTGGCCTTCATTCCACTGGTGGTACTTAAGATTCAGCCCAATGTGTCCAGAAATATCAGCCCCAAATAACAGCAGAAAACAAGGAGAAGCCATCCGGAGATGCTTGTTTTTAGAAAATTGCCCAAAGCTATATTGAATGGGCCCAGAGAAAAGTTTGAGAAACTGCCATAAGGTTAAAATCATGACTGTTTCTATTTCAACACTCAAATGATGGCAGAGCATAGGAGCCACTGAATGGGTAAAGTAATACTCAGATTTTTAAAACTACCAACATTTTTTGTGTGATAGATTCTGGAACTCCAGTCCTAAACATGATCAAACAATAGATTCAGGTGGGTAGCCATGTTGGACTGAAGTAATAGAACAAAGTTTGAATCCAGTGGCACCTTCAAGACTAACAGAATTTAGTTCTAGATATACGTTTTCGCGTGCATACTGATGCCACTGGACTGTTAAAGGTGCCATTGGTCTCAGACTTTGTTCTATTATCTAACAATGTAACCTTTTGTTTTGTGCTGTCCCACTGACTTTCGTGGTCCAAGATGCATCAGCTATAACTTATAAAGACTTTTCTAGAAATACAAAAACAAAACCATGTAATATGGGTAACCAAAATACCACAAAACAGCACGCAAGCTTTTGAGGTCTCCACAACTCCTAATTGGGTTGGATGTTCAGTTATTTAAAAAGCACACAAAAGCAGGGAAATAGGGAAAACTTCATTCCACTGACATCTTTTGACCAAACCAAAAAGCAACTGAACGTGTTTTCTCCAGGGCTTTTGAATGAGGTAGCACATCTGTCATGGGGCCACTGAATAGTCACTGTGGTATCGCTAGCAATGAGCAACAGAACTCCCACTCTTCCTCATCAACCCCTGCAACACTCTGTGACAGTCCATGTATTTATTGATCACATCTGTCACATCTCATCTGTTACAAAAAGTCATAAATATGAGCAAGGCTACACCCTCACTCCACAGAGATGGAAAACGATCAGCTTAATAACAAACACAGCCCAACTTCATAAATGTTTCCTCATTTAGTTCTTTGAGAACCAGCATGGCATAGCGGCTAATGAGTCAAGCTGGGAGAACAGGGTTCGACTTCCCACTTGCTCCTGAAGCTTGCCAGGTGCCCTCGCATCCATTACACTCTCTCAGCCTAACCTACCTCACAGGGTGGTTGTTGGGAGGATACAGTGGACAGGCCACTTTGGGTCTCCCCTGAGGAAAAAGGCAGGATACATTAAAAAAAAAATGAAGTGCACATTTGCCTCGGTTTTCTGAAGAACAGAACAGGTATTTTAAACCCATCCATTATATAGCAAAGGCAATTTAAATTGAGGGTTGGAGAATCTGCTTTTCTGCAAAAGGTAAAGATGGGCTGGGGAATGTTCAAGGAATTGAACGTATCCTTTTCTTGGTGTAGGTGAGTTCAGAGCACTGCTGGGGCTATGTAACAAAGGAAAGCCACAAGATGGCAGCATTACATGACGAATGAGTAAGAGTGAAGACTGAAATTGAATTCATGGATAGTATAGGAACAAAGACAATTCTCTCTCAATCACTAGCATCGACTACTCTGTCTTCCTCTTTCTGTGGGACCTAGGGGGCTTCTAACTCTCTCACAACCTTAAATAAATACTACATTTGCCGTCCATGAGAAGCAAGCTATGTCAGAAAGAAAAATTGGGCCAAATTTATTGTTGAGGGCTGACACAACTATGAGACATTGGGCTTTGTCCTGAAAGAGCACTAAACTAACCAGAGATCATTCAGCAACATCATCTAATGATAGTGACTTTACCAGCTTAGAGCGCTCTCCAATGCTGATTTCTAACTTTGCTGATATACTAATGTATACATAAGCCCTTTTCCATGTTCAAAGCACTTCACATGTATTAAGGCCAGTATATTCATCCCCATATTGGAGATGGGGTGCTTAGGCTAAGAAAGACTGGCAGGTCTAAGGCCATCTCGTGAGTCTGTGGCAGAGGCAAGATGTCAGCTGGGGATCTCCTGGGTCGTAGCTCATTCTTTCAGTCATGATTCAACACCAGCTCCTACATGTAATATAATGATTCATTTGTTTGCCTCATCCTTTTCTCCATGGGGACAGGTCCTGTGTGACCACTAAAATGGCCCAACAGTCCAAGTTTTTAGTATTTTCATGTGGAAATGTATTGTTGCTTCTTGCATAATCCTTTCACTCCTCTGAGGCAGGGAATGCGACATGGTACAGCCCAGTCGCCTCAGATCTCGAAAGAGAAGCAGGGTCATTACTTAGAAGAGCTGCCAGGGACTGAACAACAAGCCGAGCCAGGAAGTGAATAGCAACTGAGCCCGTGGCCGGGGTGCTGGTAGGTTATCACCCCCCATACAAATAATGTGGCCCTAGTTAGGGATAAACAGCTGTGTAAACCGCTCAGAGACTCTTCGGGGTCAGAGCGGTATATAAGTAGAAAATTAAATAAATAAATAAATAAAATGGGAGACCACCAAGGAAGGCTCTGCAGAGCAAGGCAATGTCAAATCACCTCTGCTTCTTACTTACATTGAAAGACCCTTTCTGGGGTCAACGTAAGTCAGTTGAAACTTGACAGCACTTAAGCCCATGCATAATTCCTCTGGACAATCTGGAAGTTTTCTGGTCATAGTAACATAGCCTCCACCCCCACCCTCCACCCCAAAGCCATGGGCCAGCATCAGCCTGGAGGTGCGGCATCACCTCCATAGTTCCACAGCAGAGCACATGTCTTATAGGGGCTGCTTCTGCATGGGCCTTTTCCCCCACATAGGCAGCAGGAAGGCCTTAAAGTATTTCCATCCCTTGAACTAGATTAAAAGTAAACCTACTTTGTTACAACTCAGAGGGGAAACTGTGTGTGTGTGGGGGGGAGGCACGCAACACTCCACTCACTCAGCCCACAGCCACAGTAGGGAGTGAGCTGCAGTGAGCTGCATCTTCCAAATGACATTTTCTTCCCCCCTTTACAACCCCTTTAAAGGGCTTTTTTCCTTCCCCAGTTGGGCCTTGCTGTAGCATTACAGCACGGCCTGGCAGGAAGAGTGAAAAGGGAAAGAAAAGGGGGTGTCTGTGCTGTGGGGGAACTTGCTGTCACAATCTGTACTTTTGTGCAGACACGGTGGAGAAATGGGGAGGAGTGAGATGTGAGGGCCAGCAGCAAGCGCAGTAGGGACAGATCTTTGCAGGAGAATTCCCACTTGTTCCCACCCTGGTTGCTGTTGCTGCCATGGCAGGGGCACATCTTCATGCCTTCTTGTGGAAACTGCCAGGGTCTCCAATCACAACTTCAACCAAAGTGTCTCCAGTTGCAGCCCTGGGAAAGATCTGTGCCCAAGAGTCACTAGTAGACTAGACCAGTAGTCACTAGACCAGTGACCTGCCTCCATGGACCTTCAGGCATTCATGCCTTATCCTATTTTAATTCTTTTTGTTTAACTAAAGCTCATCAAATGGCATGTCTTTTCAAGGCACAACATGCCATGTACTTCTCAGTCTGCTAGAGATTTGCTCAGTGTGCATCATTGCGGGGGAGGGAGGGGTTCCCACATGCATTCAAACTCTCTACAGCAGAGCATAAAGCATTTAGCCCAGGCACGCAACATGGGCATGTGGACAGTGGGAAGGATGTTTTTCAGGAGAAAAGAAAACTGGAAATGGAAGCATACAGGTGAGGTGAATGGATAGTTCTGAATTCTTTGTCACCCTTTTTTAAAGGGTTACATCACTGTTTTGAACGTCTGGTTACGCGTGCATCCTTTGCAATACCCATTCCCCTTCCCTGCAAATTAGAAAGTTTTAAAACTACCGTGGGCTTTGAGAAAGGGTGCTAGATGTAATCATTGGTGACACGAGTATGGGCACTAACCAATAGGCACCTGCAATAGCGAATGTACAACTCTTGTGGCAACAACAGCTGCATCTCTCAAGTCTCGTTTTATCATTTCCAGGCTTGAAGCACTACAAAAACTGAAAAATTGGTCTGAAAAGACGTGTGTGTGTGTGTGTGTGTGTGTGTGTGTGTGTGTGAACATGCTTTACAATACTGCCTCTGCTTTCTGAAAAAACTATTTATGTACAGCTCCAGCCTACGTTTCCAAGAAATCAAGTACATTTTGCAGCTAAAACTAGATTACTGCTGTGTGTCACCATCAAGATTAACAAACTGTCAGAGTAACCAAGCCAACGGCTGCTCATTTGCATCACATGATAACTGGAGGCAGCTGTTTAACCCAGGCAACAACAGGCAACCATTCATGGCAGTCCCTGAAGCTACCCACTGCTTGTATTATTTCTCTGTTATTAGTTACAATGTATTCATAGCAGCAGGTTCAGTATACAGCAGCCAAACTGTTGTGTACGTACAAAGCCCATTAAATTCCGTACATAGCCTAATGCTCTTACAGCACTGGGAAAGGCAACACAGCCCTTGTACATCCTGCATGCTGATAACCGTGTTCTCCAGAGGCACGTAAAATTCAGGGGATCCTGAATGCAGGCCATCTGCTCACCTATGTGAAGCCACGGGTGTCCAAGCACTTGCACTTCACAGAGGGAGAGGGACTCCCTTCTCCCTGGGATAGTAATGGTCACATATTGCCCTTGCATTCCCGCACAGTTAAAGGTCACGGTTTCTCCAAGATCCATGCTGCTGATTGTGGCACACCTGCCAAGGAAGAAGACCATTATTTAGTTGCAAAGAGCAGAGCACAGCCAAGGCATGGTCTGTGTAGGTGTGTGAACCCTACCCACGCTGATGCCAGGATAACCTAATGCTTTCCGGCTAGTTCCAGAGGGTAGCCGTGTCGGTCTGCAGCAGAACAGCTAGATACAAGCCCAGCAGCACCTTAGAGACCAGCCAGATTTTCATGGTAAAAGCTTTCAAGAGTCAAAGTTCCCTTTGTCAGTTGGAATGGAGATCTGAGTTTGGTGTAGTGGTTAAGTGCGCAGACTCTAATCTGGGAGAACCGGGTTTGATTTCCCACTCCTCCACTCGCAGCTGCTGATGTGACCTTGGGTCAGTCACAAGCTCTGGCACAGCTGTCCTTGAAAAAGAGCAGTTTCTGTCAGGGCTCTCTCAGCCCCACCTACCTCACAGGGTGGCTGTTGTGGGGAGCGGAAGGGAAAGGAGTTTGTAAGCCGCCCTGAGACTCCTTTGGGTAGTGAAGGGCAGGGTATAAATCCAATCTCCTCCTCCTCCTCCTTTTGTGTATATATTCTGACTGGGATATAAGGATTCAGGGATCTCTATTCCTACTTGTATCTGATGAAGGGAGCTTTGACTCTTGCAAGCTTGTGCCCCGAAAATCTTGTTGGTCTCTAAGGTGCTGCTGCATTCCAATCTTGCTTTCTAGGTAGACTCTTAAAATCAGTGGTTCAAGTTGGCAGGAAGCTTTCCACAATAACTCTGCTGCCATGGAACTCCGGCCATTGCAGACTATTCTGAAGCAGGTTCTAGGTCACACACTTGGCTCGTGCAGGGTGCTTGCTCTGTTTGCTGGGCTTCACCATTACTCGTTATGTGCTGAGGGGCACACCATAGAATATGCCCAACATGCTCCATAGCTGCATTGTGCAAGGAAAGCTAGTGGTGACAGGCAAGCTGTCTGTTTCAGAGACGCCTGCCGGTGTGCCCTTATTCTTCCCCCCACTGAGAAACTCCATATAAACTCGCAGGGAGTTGTTGTTTGAAAACCACTTTCTATGGACAGACCATGTGAGAGTTATTTATTATTATTTATTATTTATTATTTGTATTTTTATCCCGCCCTCCCCGTAGGCTCAGGGCGGCTTACACAGCATGTCGCCGAAACATGTAGTAAAACAGTAAAAACATTAAAAACATTAAATAACATTAACTCTTAAAACATCATACATACAAACAACAATTGGTGCTCGGCTCCTAAAGCCAGATGGCCGTCAGAAGTCCCGTTCTCTTTCCAAGTGTCCACATCCGGTAACCCTGTCGACTAGCTTAGGGCGTAGATGGTGATGATGGTATACTGATGGTGTAATGGCGGTGGCGGCTCCTATTCAAAAGCCTGGCGGAAGAGCTCTGTCTTGCAGGCTCTGCGGAACTGTGCTAGGTCCCGCAGAGCCCTGATCTCCTCTGGGAGCTCGTTCCACCAGATAGGAGCCGCCACCGAAAACGCCCTATTCCTGGTCACTACTAATTTGGTAACCCGTGGACCTGGTACGTCTAATAGGTTCTGGGTCCCAGACCGTAGTGCTCTTGGGGGCACATGTGGGGAAAGGCGGTCCCTCAGGTAGGCTGGTCCCTGGCCATATAATGACTTGGGGGGTTGTGTGTAGAGCTTGTAGGCGGGTAGAATACAAGCTTTGCATGCAAATGATCTGATCTTAGGGCCAAACTAAGCATTGTTTTTTAAAACATTGGGTCCAAGTTATCTAGACCCAACTCATGCTTTCGGCAGCCACACAGGAGCTGCAGGGCACTGCTTCTTTGAAAAAAGAAAGAGCCCCAATGGTCTCAGAACTGTACCATGGGGGGAAGAAGAGCTCCTATCTCCCCCCAAGCCATTTTCCTGCACAAAAACCATGCTGGTGGTGGTGGGGGGGGTCATTTCCCTGATTTTTCTGCTCCACATGAAGTATTAGTGCATGTGGAACACTAAAACCAGAGAAATAACTCTCCCTGGTGTGGCTTAGGTGAGGTAGGAGCACTTCCTCCCCCCACAGTGCCATTCCAGGGGTGGAAACTAGTCAAAGGGTCAAAAATACTGATTTTACTGACTAAAATTTAAAAAAAAAACCTGACCAAATACTGACCAAAAAAGGACAAATTACTGAACAATTTAATATCAACCTACTTATAAGCTAGCGTTTTAAATGTAAAACTAGGACTTCATTAAAAATTATTATTATCTGGCCTCCACCATCCCCATAGCCAGCCCCATAGTTAGATGTGACCCAGATAAAAGGATTTAACGCCTTTTTATTTATTTTTTTAAGAATAGAGGACAATGTTTTCATTATTGTACAAAATGCAAGGCAAAAAAAGATTCCCTTTTAAAAATAATCACATACCGCAGATAATAAAACAGCAAAACAGCAAAAACATATTAAAAACCAAACATAAAGTAATAATTATGACAACAAAACACAATTACTGTAAGATAAGACTTGTCTTTGCTTGTACTTTATCTTTGGTTTTTTGATGAAAAAAGAACCGGCCATCAGCCTGCCATCCCTGGTGGAGGCCGTGTCGGGCTGGGCACTGGAACACCCTAGACTGATTGTCCTGCTTGATTTCAGTGTCCATGCGGATGATGAAACCTCCACTCAGGCAATGGACCTAGTGTCATCCGTGGTGGCGCTGGGACTCTCCCAATATATAATGACTCCCACTCACCAGGCCGGGCACACGCTCGATCTGATCTTCGCGGCAGGAGTCACAGTGGACCGGGTCACTGCCTCAGCAGTGCCATGGTCAGACCATCATGCCCTGAAGGCCCATGATGTTTCACCCCAACCCTGTTTGGGTGGTGAGCAGATTTCAGCTTGCCCATGGAGCCAAATGGACCCTATGTGGCTTCAAATGGTGCTGCGGGATCCGATGCCCCCTGGTGGCTCATTAGATGAGCTTGTGGAGGATTGGCACAGCTGACTCTCGGCAGCCATCAATGAGATCGCTCCCCGACGCCCTCTGCGCCCTCACTTTAGACTGGCTCCTTGCTTTACCCAGGAGTTGCGGCTGATGAAGCGATGGCTAAGATGGCTACAGAGTGTAGGACATTTATGAGATCCTATGAGATGGCAGTCAAGAGTATTATGCGGCCACGATTGCATCTACGAGCTCATGCCCAGCCCAATTATTTAGAATAATTCGGTCTATGACTGTTCTGCCACAGAGCAGACAAAATATTAAGGAATTGGATATAGGCTGTGAGGCTTTTGCAAGTTATTTTGCAGATAAAGTCCTGTCGCTCTGCCATGACCTCCCCACCACAGTTGAGACAGTAAGTGAACTCGAGGCTCCATGCACATCTTAGTCAGATTATGGATTATTTCAGTCCGCTTAGCCTGGAAGAAGTTGACAAACTGCTCTTAACTGTACGCCCTACTACATGCTGCCTTGACCCGTGCCCACCATGGCTAATTAAAACTGGCCGTGAGGGATTTTGAGATGCACCAAGGGAGATTATCAACAAGTCCCTCTCGGAGGGACAGTTCCCTAGGGCACTCAAGGAAGCTGTGGTTCGTCCCCTCCTGAAAAAGCCATCTCTGGATCTGGCCGAATTGGCTAATTACCAGCAAGTCTCCAATCTGCCCTATTTGGGTAAAATAACTGAGATGGCTGTGGCAATTCAGCTACAGAGCTTTTTGGATGACACTTCCATTCTGGATCCTTTCCAGTCCGGTTTCTGCCCAGGCCACAGGACAGAGATGGCACTGTTCGCCCTCACGGATGACCTCCGGAGGCATCTGGATCAGGGCAGATTGGCAGTGACGTTGCTGTTGGACCTGTTGGCGGCATTCAACATGGTCAAACATTAGTTACTGATCCACTGCCTCGCCAACACTGGAGTCCAGGGGCCTGCCTTGCAATGGCTGGCTTCTTTCCTTCAGGGTCGGGGACAAAGGGTGGCGCTAGGGGAGCAGTTATCCCAAAAGCACCCACTGATTTGTGGAGTGCCCCAAGGGGCGGTGCTGTCCCCAATGTTATTTAACATCTACATGCGCCCCCTTGCCCAGATTGCCCAGAGGCATGGACTGGGATGTCACCAGTATGCGGATGACACCCAGCTCTATTTGTCGTTGGGCGGTCAGTCTGACTTCAAACTGGAAGATCTGAACCAGGGGTTGCAAGCCGTAGCTGGTTGGCTCAGACTGAGCCAACTGAAACTGAATCCGATGAAGACGGAGGTCCTGTGCCTGAGCTGGGGCAGCCCAAGGGCAGGGATCCTACTTCTGACCTTCAATGAGGCACCATTGGTGCCAGCGCTGGAGGTTTGGAGTTTGGGAGTGCTCCTGAATGCCTCACTAACAATGGAGGCCCAGGTAGCAGCCACTGCCAAATCAGCCTTTTACCACCTCCAGCTGATTAGGCAGTTAGTTCTCTTCCTCGAATGCAACAACTTGGCGACAGTGATCCATGCGATGGTCACCTCGAGTTTGGACTACTGTAATGCTCTTTATATGGGGCTGCCCTTGACCCAAATCCAGAAGCTACAGCTAGTACAAAATGCTGCAGCCAGGCTTCTGATAGGCCTCCCTATGCTGGACAACATCCAGCCTGTGCTGAAAGCACTGCACTGGCTGCCGATAGGATACCGAATTCGCTTCAAGGTGCTGGTACTTACCTTTAAAGCCCCTTATGGTCAGGGGCCCACATACCTGAGAGAACACCTTTCCCCACATGCTCCCCAGAGAGCACTGCACTCAGGGTCACAAAATCAATTGGCCTCCCAGGTCCTAAAGATGCCAGGCTGGCCACAACCAGGGTCAGGGCCTTCTCAGTGGTAGCTCTGTACTGGTGGAATGAGCTCCCAGAAGAGATCAGGGCCCTCAGGACCTTTTACATTTCCGCAGGGCCTGCAAGATGGAGCTCTTCCACCAGGCCTTTGACTAAGGAGCCACACCAAATAACATCAAATAACTGAGATGTGACAATGCCCTGGTCCTTGGCTTACCATCAACAGCCTGTGCTGTTGCCTAAATATAGAGACCAAGACCACCGATATAGATCATCTGATTACAACACTAGTATCGGTTCTGCCTTCTGTAAGCATTCTTATAAGTATCTGATCACTTACTAGCACTTTATGATAATGTAGAGTTTTATTATTTGTTTTAAGATTGTATATAATTTGTTACCTATATGTTTAATCTCTTTATAAGCCACCCTGAGCCCACCCCGGCGGGGAGGGTGGGGTATAAATTGAATAAATAAAGTTATTCATGAACTCTTTCATTTCTCAACAGTTTTCTGCACTGCATCCACAAGCATTTTTCCCCCTTGTCCTCTTCTCAACTCCTTCTAGCATGAGCTGTGTCATGTTGAATCCCACAATATCCATCACCTCTACTTTCATTGTCTCATGTTTTAAGAGGTTAGTTATGTTTCTATACTCTGTGGAAGATTTCACCAAATCACTTTTACTCTTAGGAACAAAGTCCTTAAAGTACTTCATAACTACACTGAAAACAATCTGTCTTCTCACTGGGAAGTCATCATGTTTCCCCAAAAATGCAGTAATGAAAACAGAAAAACACAAACTGCATTCACAAGAATCAAAGAAATACTGACTTTACTGACCAATTTTTTAAAAAAACTGACAAATTACTGACCAAAATGAAAAAAACTGACTTTTACTGATTTTACTGACCATTTTCCACCCCTGCATTCCAATCCTATTTGAGCCCTCTCTCTCTCTCTCTCTCTCTTTTAAAGAGCCTGTTTCCAGTAGCTGCTGAGAACATGACTGGGGTCCAGGAAATCCAGACCCAACTCCAGTAACATTTAGTTTGGCCCTTAGATTCAATTAGGGGCATCTCAAATCCAAACGACCAAATGTAGCAGACTCCGGAGAGCTGCTGTCAATCAACAATACTTAACAAGATGGACCAGTAAGTAGTCTGGTTCACCATAACACAGCTTCAAATTAACAGTAATCAATAAAATAATCTTGTTATAAGGAAACTAGTATTTAATAATAGTAGTACAGAAGGGGGGAAAGCACAAATAAACAGAATAATGTGCAGAAGAAGACATGGAGAAATTGCCATTTGCGAAAATGCTTCACAGATTCATTGAACCATCTTGCCACGTAGAACTGCTATTAAGGCCTTGAGGCAAATTCATAGGCTGCTTACCCAGAACTTGAACTACTCAGCAAATTTTCTGCAGGTAAAGTTGTCTAAAATAGACAGCTCTTAGAAGAGAAAATGAAAAATCTTGAGCACTGGAATTTAGTCAGTGGGCCCAAATTACAGATTCTAAATACACCCTCCTAGAACTAAATGTTGGACTAAGAACAAGTCACTATTACTGTGCTTATGTGTATGTTAGGAGGCAGCAGGCAAATACCTGGGATTCATGGTGCCTCCCTTCTCAGGCAAATCCCCAATCAGAATCTCAGCTCCTTTTATGCGCGATTCACAACAGTCTCCTCTGTTGGTGACGACCACAGCAGACACCTGAAATGCCGAAATCAAATCCACCATCCACCAGGGTTCAAATTCCTTCTGTGTCAGGGTGCAATCGCCATGAGCATAGTTATGTGCCAGAGACCCGTCTACGCCCTTTCTGGACTCTCCTTTTGTTTCAAAAGTGCTGGACTGGGAGGATATTTTCCCCACTGCTATATTAGGATCTGGGATAGGAGGAAGAGAGAATACAATTTATTTAGAGCAGAAACGAAAACATGTGTAGCAGCATAAGGCCATAAGAGCTAAAAAATCAAGAGTTGAGTATTCTACTTCTGCAGTGGCTAGCTAGATGCTCCAGCGCATAAAGTGGGACAGAACAATCCACCATTTTTTGTTCTTCCCAACATCTAGTACTCCAAGGCTTATTGTCTCTGAATATGGAAGCTACAGGTCCAGAGATCAGTGCTAATAGCCACTCGCTCCGGGGAATTTTTAAAATTTTATTATATTTAACTTACTTATAAGCCCATCTTTCCCACTAAGACTCAAGGTAGATTACAGAAGAACAAAAGATAAAAGACTAATATACAGTACAGGACATCTGATAAACAGTGCGAATTGGATCAGAAGTACTAAACAGATTGACAGCATGAGCAACAGTGTAATCATACAGGATAAAATATTCAATGAACAATGCAGTAGGGTTAGGAGTACAAAACTGAATAACAATGTGTCAACCACAAACTGCCAGGCCAGAATAATCTATAACCTTTTGTAAATCAATTTATGTTAGTGTCCAAGTGGTTACCCTGATTCAAATTCCACACATTGGCCACATGAAACCTTGGGAACATCTCCTTCTTGCCCATCCCAGTCTGCTTCCAGTGTCATCAGATGACTCAGACAGCCTTATCACAAAACCAGGTGGAAGCATAGGTGGCCTCCAAAGAAAGAGAGACTTATTGTGTGCACCACCATGTGCAGGATTTGGCTTTCAGCAGGCATTGCAATGGTGGGTTCACACATCTACAGCCACCACACATCCTTCTGGTCCAAATGATTATTTTTAATGAAATACTACTTCATGCCAGTGGGATAGGGGGGTGTTGTGTTAAGTTTAAATAAATCATCCATGCATCCCATTCAGCATTTACCTCCAACTGGAATTATTGAAGCATCTGCAATGGCAACATTGCCATCATTGCCTAGAAAGGAAAGCAAGCAATTATGAATACATCAAGCATACTTAAGTTACTGAAAAGCTAAGACATGGTAGAAAGTGTGCGGAGACCTCACATAGCTTTGGCATGATTGCACTTGTGCAAGTGAGGTACCCACATTCTGTGCCAGTTTATTTACTGAGAATGGTTTATGAATCAGAATCTTTCATGTGAAAAGCGTACCATCTTGAAGACCTGTAGCCCAGCCACCAAACTAATAACTATACCAATTTCAGCCATATTACAATGGCAACAAATCATCTTAAACCCCACATAACAACTCTTAACCAGGTTGAACAGTAAACAGGTTTGTGCTCCAGTCCTAGCTTAAGTGGTAAGAACCTGCTTTACAGCCTAATCCAGTTAACATTTTTGCTCAGATGGAAATAATTTACTTTGATGTAAATGGGGCTGACTCCCAAAGTAATTTTGCATAGAATGACAGCCCTACACACAGAGGTACAAGTCATTCTTGCTGTATTCAGGTGAATTCCCATTCACCAAACCATTTAGAATCAAGGTGCAATCTGCTTAGCAAAGAAGCTAATTAGAATTGTACTTACGTCTATAGGTTATGAACCAGTGCAGACTGACCATAACAAGAATGGTGTAGTTGGGGAGCATGCTTGTTATTTTACCCACTTTTTGAGTTTCCTACAGATTGTTTAGCATCTTCACTGAGGCATCCCAGAAATTTCCTCTCCCTTATTCATCACCAGTCTCCGAGAAACTCCTTGCTCCTTTTGTTCAAGCTGGTCCTTGAAACTTTGAAAGCCAAGACGCCCACGCACCCCTTGCTGTTTTATAGTTGGACGTCTTTGAACAGGGGGCGGTTCTTGGACACTGCACTTTACCTAGTAAGATAAAGATTTAATGGGTCTGCACTGTAACTAACTTAACAGGATCAGCCAGAACATGTTAATGGCAGTAAGATTACAAAAGAACATCTATTGTTCAGTTTTACAGACAGCAGATATCCATACATTTCCAAAATAGGGAAACATTTATTGATAGATGTAAAGCTTTGTCCACCGGGGATCCAACTCCTTCCATGCAACCATCAGCCTGACCAGTCCATGTAGCAGATCCATTTTCTGGACGTCACTGTGCAGCTATGGACCTGTTTGCATGTTAGCGAGTGCACATACATACAGAGGTCATTTCGGGGGGGAACGCAGTTCCCCCGGGTGAGGTCCAGGGGGCGGGGCACATGACGAAGCCCCGCCCCCTGCTTCCGGCAGCCCCGCTTCCAGCCCTCATTCAGCCTGGAGGAGGCAGGAGAAGAGGGAGGGTAAGTTGCTTCCTCCCAGCCTCTCCCCACCCCTGCCTGCCTGGGACCAGGGAGGGCCTTGGCGGGGCTTCCTCGCACTCCCGCTGGCCTTGCAGGTCCACCGCCGGGCCCCTGATGTCAGGGGGTGTAGTATATGCTAATGAGTTATGCTAATGAGTTCCCCTAGCTCTTTTTCTACGAAATGACCCCTGCATACATACAAAGTGAACGTGTGTTGGAAGAGCCAACACAAATTCACTTTATAGAATGAAACTGGAAATCAGTACCTGGATAAATGTGGGGTATCATGGAATGTCATGTAAGAATTACTCAAAACACATGCAAAGAACAATAAAGTGTAGACTGTACATAGATTGTACATGCAGTCACTATAACTTGTGACCAGGGCTACTGCAATGGGCATATAAACACCGTCAGGGACTCATTGTCCTACATGTCTTATAATACACTGTATGCTCTCATGTGCCACCAATGCCCTTCTGCCTATAACAAAGAATAAAAGAACATAAGTCAAACATTAAAAATGGAAAGAGACACTGGCAGGGAAGTATTTCAGTTTACTGGGACACTCAGCAGCAGATCTGACGGTTGCTGTACATCAATAAAACAAGGGATGATAACTCCGCAGGCAACATGTCTGGCAGGCAAACATACTGGTTTTTTACAGTCATGATCAGATGTGAGCTGAGCCTCATATCTCCTCGGCTCAGCACCACCATCCAACGTGAGCAGCCACCAAACAGCTTTGCATCTGCACAACAGCTGCAGTTATGAATTTTTGTTTCTTTCTGATCTGTCATTTTTGGGGGGCACCCCCATGCCTCAGGACCAAACAGTCCGCGTGCGAAGGCAGCCCATAACATCAGCTCTTGCACATCGTGCTATTGGTCACCTAGTGCAGGCTTTTTGTTCGGTGCAGAAGGCAGTCCTTCATAAACTTTTGGTCATGTGTCACCACTGGGGGGCGGGGAGGCAGCGTATAAATGAATTGAATAAATAATATTCTTGCCATGCAATCAATTTCTAAATTTAAATAGTTAGAGACTGAACACTAACTTCGTAATGACGCATGCAGGGATGAAAGCTGCTGCTACTACTCTCACCAGGCTTCACAAAAATGTCCATACATGAAATGCTGCCAATCCATACAGATCAGGTATTAGCATTACTGGGATATGAATTTAGGTGAACACTAAAAGATTTTTTAAAACTGTAGCGTTTATGACGGTTTTGCTTACCCTTTTAACCAATTCCCACCCTGTTTTGCTTACCCTTTTAACCAATTCCCACCCTGGATCTTGTCTTCACAGATCATCATTGCATCAGAGAAAGCAAAGCTTGAAAAACATTAATGATAGCTGACCTCTCCACATTTTTCATTCCTAAGGGCCTCCACTTTGGGTCCCTGATCAGTGAGAAAAGCAGGATACAAATACAAAAATAAGGAAATAATCAAAATAATCAGAATATTTGCAACCTGAAGATGTATGCAGCAGTCAATAAAAGGGTCTGTGTTTCCAGAAATATACAGGGACAGGCCATCAAAACTACATCCAAGCTCAAGACGTCTACCCTCTAGCTGGTAAAACGCCAGCAGTCATAGCTCTATACCTTGCTCAGGTCAGGCCCTTCCTGAGACCCAGACTCCTACACGGGATCCAACAAGCACGACAACCGCATCCACTTGAAGAGCCTTCGTGGTGGGGTGGTTAAAAGTGTTGCACTACAATCTGATTGATGCCTTAAAACCTTGATGTGCGACCTTGGGGGAATCACTGTCTTTAAGCCTACCATACCATGTGGTTATTGTGAGGATAAAACGGCGGAGGAGAGGACAAACTTGTAACTGCTTTGGGTCCCCAGTGGTGAGCAGAGCAGGTTACTAATCAGTTCTCAGCCTGCCACCCTACTCAGCCCTTGTACTCCCCTGGAGTCTGCTGGTGCCTTTCCTGGCATCCGACAAATGGTTTTAGAAACTGGGCAGGGGCCAGTGGTCCCTCTAAGCTGAGTTAGTGTGAGCTAGCTCAGTTTTTTGGCCTCCAGCTCACAGGTTTTTGTCTTAGCTCAGGAAGGATGGCTCCAGAGCCAACTAATTTGTGCAGTAGCCAAATAGCTCGCTCACAACTTTAATGCCAGTAGCTCACAAAGTAGAATTTTTGGTCACAAGACTCCACAGCTTAGAGGGAGCATTGGCAGGGGCATACCTCCAGTGGAGGATTTTGGGGTCACACCCCCTCAATCATGAGCCACACTCCACCACCCCCGCCTCAAAAGGCAGGAGCGCCATCCACTCTTATTTGCATCGCCGCAGACTGTGACAGCAGCCATGAAATTAAAAGACGCCTGCTCCTTGGGAGGAAAGCGATGGCAAACCTAAACAGCATGATAAAAAGTAGAGACATCACCCTGCCAACAAAAGTCCGCATGGTCAAAGCAATGGTATTCCCAGTAGTCATGTATGGCTGCGAGAGTTGGACTATAAGGAAGGCCGAGCGCCAAAGAATAGATTTGTTTGAACTATGGTGCCGGAGCAGACTCTTGAGAGTCCCTTGGACTGCAAGATCAAATCAGTCAATCCTAAAAGAAATCAACCCTGACTGTTCCCTGGAAGGCCAGATAATGAAACTGAAGCTCAAATATTTTGGCCACCAAATGAGAAGGGAGCACTCACTGGAGAAGACCCTGATGCTGGGAAAGATTGAAGGTCAAAGAAGACGGGGACGGCAAAGGATGAGATGGTTGGACAGTGTCATAGATGCAACGAACATGAAATTGAGCCAACTTCAGAGGACGGCGGAAGACAGGAAGGCCTGGCGTGATGTGGTCCATGGGGTCACGAAGAGTCGGACTCGACTGTGCGACTGAACAACAACAAAGGAGAAGGAGAGCCAGCTGGTGAGCTCTCCACTCTGCAGCAGGAGCACACTCCAGCCGGCTCTCCTTCTCCCCAGCCAGGCACCCCAGGCAGGGCAGGCGAGGGATGGCGACAGTTGCGCCATCGCAGGCACAAACGCAGCACTGCCAGTGGGCACCTACTTCGCCTTCAAGTGGGAAGCGCTGCTGAGGGCCTCCGAGTGGCTGTGCGTGTTTCCTCTATGGCCAGCTCTGCTGCGTAGGTTAGGGTTGCCACAGGCAGCTCCGACAGCCCCTAAAGGGCTTGCTCAGTGGGCATGCTCACAGCACACAGCCCCAAGGAGGTAAGGGATCCGGGCTGGCCTGCCTCCATGCCGCGCCCGCTCCTCGGCCACTCCCTGCCTGGCCAGCCGGAGACCAACCTCACCCATGAGCTATTCTTATTAGTAATCTAATTAAATTCCCCACTCCCTGGGGCCAGCACCCCGGCACCAACAACCAAAATTTTCTGGCTACGGGCCTAGGCTGGGCCAGGTGAGGCTTTTTTTAGTTTTGTGATGGCATAATCCAGACAGTGGCTTTATGTACTTTTTACCTGTGCAAAAAGCAGTGATATTTGAAAAACTCTGGCCCCGGTCACACGGAAGATCTTTGCTCGAGAGATGGACGGATCGGGGGCGCAGCAAACGGGCGCGATCTCACCGCAATATCTGGGAAGCGGAGCACACCTGTCTCCGATCCGTCCCTAAACCCAGAAAAGCCGCTGCAAAAAAGAACCTCCTACAGAGGAGGACTTACCTGAAGCACCGCAGCAAGTGTGGCCGTGGGATCGCCGCCACGCCCGTCGTCAGGAGCAATCCAGGCTCCCGGTTGAACTGCGCACGCACACACATGCGCAGTTCGGCAGCCTCGCTCTTCCTTCAGTAGCTCCCCCCCCGCATCTAATCGTGCCAGGGAGGAACTGCGTGGCGGCTCAGGGGATCTATGTGATCTCACATGTTTCTTTTGGCGCAGCTTTAAAAAGCCACACTTTGGCCATACTCCCCCCCCCCCGCCCCCGTGTGGCAGTGGCCACAGTAGACTTAATTCTAGCTAAACATGATTGGGCTGCATGGCTGAAATGCTTAATACACATAATTGAAACTTCTATTGAAATCAAATCTTACCAATTTACATATATTTTTATAATTCAAGTAGAAGTTGACAATAACATCACTCTGCCAAATTTTATTCACTTTTCAATTATTTATGATCCTATCCAAATCTTTTACTGCACACATGTGCAGAGTTCTCAACCAGCCCATTCAGCACCAACTGTCAGTGTTAAAAGTAACAGTTCAGGTTAAGAAGGGCTCAGCTCAAGAGAAAAGGGCTAATCATTTACAGGAATAGCCAGGAGAAAAAGCATTTCCCTTTTGAATTAGATGGCAGCAAAAAGTAGAGAGATACTGCCAAATGAGAGTTTCTTAGCTAGCTCAATATGTATACTATTTTGTGGGTATGGAAGAAAATATTTAAAAACATTTTAAAAGTCACCTTGTTAAATAGAGCTTCTGCCTTAGATGTTGAAGACCTGTTATCAGAATTATGCATAACCTCACTCCCTGACATTTTGTGGTTAGCTCCACATCCTGCAGCAACCATTTTGTGGCTCGTCCTGCCTCTGTGTCAGAATTCTCAGGGCTGAACAGGGTTGGGGACCCCTGCCCTAGACACACGCAGGTGACCTTTTTTTGGCTGGTTCCAGCCAGCCCAGGAAGAGAGAGGTGCCTTACCCTATGCCATATAGCTTAGGTTCATGTACATCACACATGCTGTCCTTTGACTCAGGCTGGCAACTGCTGTCTGAGAACATGGTGGCTACACCCTGCAACACAGGAAAAGATTAAATTAGGTGGCAAAGATCTGATTAAACAAAGAATGCCACTCTGGAGACACAAAAGAGCTGGCAGCAGTGTTCCCTCTAAGCTGAGTTAGTGTGAGCTAGCTCAGTTTTTTAGCCTCTGGCTCACACCTTTTTGTCTCAGCTCAGGAAGAATGGCTCCAGAGCAAACTAATTCACACAGCAGCCAAATCGCTCGCTCACAACTTTAATGCCAGTAGCTCACAAAGTAGAATTTTTGCTCACAAAACTCCACAGCTTAGAGGGAACATTGGCTGGCAGGTGTCTGTTTTAACCAGGCTGGGGTCCAGGCATTTATGGACATTAGTTTGAGCAGAAACACCTTCTCACCCCCTTTTTATATCCAACTGCATGCCCAATAGGCATTCTGAAATTCCAAGAGAGTTCAGATGTTCCCTCTGCTCCATGATCAAAGGCTGAAGCAGGCATACTTTTATTTACTGGGTTACATCATACTAGCAACAGTGGCTAATCACATTTAAAAAAACAAAATGGGTCACCAGGAAAGGTTAACTGCTTGGAAAGCATGAATGGAATTCTTCTGAGTAGGAAATGGAAGCACCACTGTTCTGCCTCCCTACACTTCTAAACCCAGGTGGCTGGAACCTCTGGTCTGACTCCAGCCAAGTTTCCCCAGCATAAAACTGACACCCAGTCGTTTCCTGCTGCCTTATGGTTTCAAGTGAAGGAAAGCCTGCAATTGGTATCAGCATAGCCATTTTTATCCCACCCGTGTAATTGCTGAAGCACTGGCTGCTATTTTCTCCTTAGTCGTGCATCTTACTTGTCCAGTAATTGTGAAGACTATATGCGGCAGAAATAAACACCGTCTAACGTTCTGAATAATTCACAAGCCAAATTATGAGTCTGACCTGGTAACCTGAAATACTGAACGACACAGCTGAATAGGCTTGTCAGTTAGTATGGTTAGGACTAACTGGTAAGGGAGCCACTAATGTACAAGCAAGAGACTCTCCACCCCCGCCCCCCGTAGAATCTAAGCCCGGGGGAACATCTGAGGAAAATTGCAGCCGTTTCTGACACCCCAATATAAATACTCCTGGGCGTTTTAAAGGCCAGCATATATTATACAATGATTCATAAACCAGAAAACCGTGAGCATTTTAAAGATTAACATTTACTCTAGCACGAGCTCGCGCGAATCAGCTACCGTCACCACACGCATGGAGACCCAACCCCTGTTGCGCCACCTACGGAAAACGGAACCAAAGAAAAGCGCGGGCTCTCCTGTTTTAAACGGCGGAGCAATCAGACACACCTCAACAAAGTATTCGTCGCACGAGCGGCTAATCCTACTGGCTAACACAGCAACCGACGATTCCTATTGGTTAGGAAGTGAAAAGACTTTTAAAAGCCACTGAAAAGAAAAATTTAAGAGAAAGGTGAAGTTTAGCAGCTTCAGTTTTTAAAGTAGGGTATACTTACTTCCCGCTCTAGGCACTACGATATTTTAAATCAAACACGCATGTGGCGGGTACCTTCCTAGTTGTAACTAACCTACAAAAACTCATAAAATGCATTATATTCAGCAAAAGTGAAAGGATGTAGTGAACAGCTCTTTAGCTTTCCCTGGGATCATGTAGTGGCTCTTAAAAGAGCCTTTAGGGTTTTCTGCGCGGTTTGGCGCCGCTCGGAGGAGCCTTTCAATCAAGCCCTCTCCCCGCGAATGCGCCGGGCCAGCTGGATGTCCTTGGGCATGATTGTCACTCTCTTGGCATGGATGGCACAGAGGTTGGTGTCCTCGAACAGCCCCACCAGGTAGGCTTCGCTCGCCTCCTGCAGCGCCATCACGGCCGAGCTCTGGAAGCGCAGGTCGGTCTTGAAGTCCTGCGCGATCTCGCGCACCAGCCGCTGGAAAGGCAGCTTGCGGATCAGCAACTCCGTCGACTTCTGGTAGCGCCGGATTTCCCTCAGCGCCACGGTGCCTGGGCGGTAGCGGTGCGGCTTCTTCACGCCCCCGGTGGCCGGAGCGCTCTTGCGGGCAGCTTTGGTAGCCAGCTGTTTGCGGGGCGCCTTCCCGCCAGTGGACTTACGAGCGGTTTGCTTCGTACGAGCCATTCTCTTGAAAAATGAAAGACTGAGCAACACGAAGAGCGCGCGTCAAAATTTATACACCAACCCTGCCTTTTGATTGGCTGATGTAGAATAAATGCCTTTTCACCATTGGTTAATAGAGCTTGTTTTTGATTGGCCGAGTCTGGAAAACCAAAATCTCATTGGATAATTTGAAAACTCTTATAAATCCCTCATCTCCATTTTGCGTTACGCAACTGCTTTTTAAATACTAAATATTCGTTTAAGTCTCAGACTCGTTGACTTTTCCTTGATATTTCCTCACAGAAATCCTTTTTAACTTGTTAGATGTAGCAAACACGTTTCCCTGTACGATTCCCCTCCCCCCTACACTAAAAACACTTCGGTTGAGAACAGAACTTAGCGAACAGAGGAAAGTAGAAGTAGCAGCCGTCTTTCTACGTTTATGCACTGTCTATAAAATCTTCTGTTCGGTTGAGAGGGTGTGGATTGTTTGATAAACTTTTCTGAAAAAGACTTTATTTTACCACACGCGCAGCTTAGGCAGGGGTAAATACTGAAACTAAGTCGAAAATGATATTTACGAACACGATGCCTTTCATCCTACTGTTGGGTGTGTGTGGCTGTTTTACTCGCCCTAGTTTCTAAGCAAGAGAGGAATCTGGACTCACTGGCCAATAACCGCTCAAGGCGGGAATTTCAAAATTCCAACGGACGTTCCGTGGAAGTGGCGGCTTGATTTGATTTATGCAATTTGGGCTGCAAGGCATACTCCCAACGTGGAAGTAAACACGATTAAAATCAACGTTCCTTCTAGTGACATAGTTCAATGGCTGAGTTCTCATTGTGAGACAGCCAGTTTTAAGAAAATGATTATGTATTGACTTCGGGGACACACCAGCTCTCCGATTCGGAGAGACCTGCTTTAGGTAAAGGTTCCCTTGCTCGAAAGCCAGTCGAATCCGATTCTAGGGTTGCGGTGCTCATCTCCGTTTCAAAGCCGAAGAGCCAGCGCTGTGCGAAGACGTTTCCGTGGTCATGTGGCCGGCATGACTAAACACCAAGGTGCACGGAACGCTGTTACCTTCCCACCGAAGTGGTACCTATTTACCTACTTGCAATTTCTTGCTTTCGAACTGCTAGGTTGGCAGGAGCTGGAACTAGAGATGGGAGCTCACTCCATCATGCGGCACCCGGGTCTCGAACTGCTGAACTACTAACCTTCCACAGCCACTGCAGCTTAGGCTAGCACTATATAGTTCCGGTCAGAAGAGACCACCTTAAACTTCTACTTTAGTCTTATTACATAGAAAAAATACGGAGTTAATGGAGTTGTTTCGAAAGTGATAGGACTCTCTTATTGAAAAAATAGGTGGCTCTTAAAAGAGCCTTTGGGTTAAAATCAAGGGCGAGGGCTCACTTGGAGCTCGTGTATTTGGTCACAGCCTTCGTGCCCTCAGACACAGCGTGCTTAGCTAGTTCTCCCGGCAGCAGAAGCCGCACTGCCGTCTGAATCTCTCGGGAAGTGATAGTCGAACGCTTGTTGTAATGTGCTAAGCGAGTAGCTTCCCCAGCGATACGCTCGAAAACATCGTTCACAAAGGAATTCATAATACTCATCGCCTTCGAAGAAATGCCAGTGTCCGGGTGAACTTGTTTCAGGACTTTATATACGTAAATCGAATAACTTTCTTTTCTGACCTTCCTTCGCTTCTTGTCACCCTTTTTGTGGGTCTTTGTTACAGCTTTCTTGGACCCCTTCTTGGAAACCGGGACCGATTTAGCCGGCTCCGGCATCTTGACAACGCAATCTATTCTGACAACAAGCGCTCGAACTGCAGCTTCCTTTTATATAGCCTTTATGCAAATCAGGGGCTTCTGGTTCATTTTTCTTATTGGATAAGGGAAACAACTATTTATAAACCTATCGTTTACCGTTTCTGATTGGACAATGTAATATTAAACGCCGATTGGTTGAGAGGCTGTCTCTATTTCAGCCAATCACAAGTTGCACTAACTACGGTGGCAAATCAAAGGCCGGTAAATAAACCCTGCGCAATGTTCATTCACAAAAACATTTTTACAAATTATTTGGAGCGCCACTTCCCCTCCAAAATAAATGGGCGTTAAGAACTGCTGAATTAAATCGGGCTTCCGCGTAAACATACTTTAAGTATGAGTCCAGTGGCACCTTTAAGACCAAGAGAGTTTAATTCTGGGTATAAGCTTTCGCATACACATTGAAAGCTTATAGGCAGAATTAAAAATTTTTGGTCTTAAAGGTGCCAATGGACTCACTTTGTTCTGTTGCTTCAGACCAACACGGCTACCCACCTGAATATAGTTTAATAAACTACTACACACAGGAAAAAGTTCTTTATTTCAGTCCTTTGCAGTATATGATCATCCGTACTCATTCCCGCCCCAAAAGTACGTTGTTTCTTCTGTCAGCGGCTTTCAGCAAGCATTAATGCTAGAAATAGATTCGGATACTACACTCGAAGGTTCTTTCCATACAACGATTTAACTAATTGAAACCCAATCCTACACACGTTTATATTCAAGAGTCCCACTCAGTTCACTGAACATTGAAAACCGAAATTGTAAACATCTCCTGTAATATAGAAGAGAAGCAAAGTGCCTCCCCCCCCCCCCCCCGCACACACCTGTCCGGGAGAATGCTGCTGATCCCCAATTCGAATCCCAATGATTAATTGAAATTGAAAAAATTGCCAGCTGCAGAAAAACCGCTTTTGACCATCTGCAAGGTAGTACTTGACTCGCTGTGTTCACTCGTTAGTTTCCCTCTCGCCTAAGCCTAAATTACTTCCCCAAGATACATTAAAATCCCAATTCAGGTATGAACTGCACTGTGCTTTTTCGGGGCTACCTTTGGCTTCTTCTACTACCTTCTATGGTAAAGTGAACCCCCCCTCCAATTATTGTAAATATATGGGAATTAAACCACCCGAGAAGCTAACTTCAGGCTTGTTGCAAGCCTGTCAAGGGACAGCTCCAGGAGGGATCGCCTTTGCCCAAGGCGCGTGCCAGCTCTTTTTTAGACTAAGTGGGTGGCTCTTAAAAGAGCCTTTGGGTTTTTGAAAGCAAGGAACGGATGGGTCATCGGAGGTTTATTTCTTCTTGGGCGCCGCCTTCTTCGCCTTTGCCGCCTTGGGCTTGGCGGTCTTGGCTTTCGCAGTCTTGGGCTTCACCGCCTTCGCTTTGGCCGGGCTTTTCGCCACTTTCTTGGGCTTGACAGGCTTCGCCTTCTTGGGGCTCTTGGCCGCCTTCTTGGCAGCCGCGGGCTTTTTGGGCTTCTTGGGACTCTTCTTGGCAGCGGCGGGCTTCTTGGGCTTCTTGACTGCCCCGGCAGCCTTCTTCGCCACAGGCTTCTTGGCTTTGACGGGCTTCTTCTTGGGGGCCTTCTCCTTCGCGTCGCCGGATTTCTTGCCCAGTTTGAAGGAGCCAGAGGCGCCGATGCCCTTGGTGTGCACCAGAGTCCCTTTGGTGACCAGGCTCTTCAGCCCCAGCTTGATACGGCTGTTGTTCTTCTCCACGTCGTAGCCTCCAGCCGCCAAAGCTTTCTTGAGAGCTGCCAGGGAGACGCCTTTGCGCTCCTTGGAAGCAGCCACCGCCTTGGTGATCAGCTCGGTGACGCTGGGGCCCGAAGGCTTGCGCGCTTTGGCCGCTCCAGCCTTCTTCGCCTTTTTGGCCGGAGCCTTGGAGGCTGGAGCTGGCGCGGCAGCAGCAACTGCCACAGCAGGCGCCGTTTCAGACATGACTGCGGAGACCTCGCAATAAAATCACCAATGGAGAAAAAAGTGAACTCAAGTAGGTCAGCCGCTGTTTATTTATAGAGAAGAGCCGCCTTGTGATTGGTCCTCTGCAAAACCCGCCCCGCTGCAAGGCAGAAAGGACTCTTCCGACCGCTCAGTTTGTGTTTCTTTCGAGTTAATAAACTGTAAATTTTGCACAATAGCTGCCCCCAAGTAATCAATTCTTTGAACCGAGGAGAGCAGGAAGGGGCTGTTAGCATCCATTCAAGTTTTCGAGCGGCAAAAGAAAACGTAACGATTTTAAAAGGGCTCCTAAGCCTTGAATGCAGGAGCTGGGAAGACCTCGCAAGACAGAAACTTTTGTTTTTCTTTGTAAATTAAAGCCATGTAATTGTCAAAAATACCCGGAAAACTGTGCAGATCATCTCTTCAGGTAGTCATGTCTGCCGCAGGACCTGCTGTGGGTGATTTGGAGTCGTGTGCTTATAGTAAATAGATTTCAAGGAAACGGAGGTAACACAAACTTCTACAAAGTACATTCACCATTGCAGAGTAGCCAAGCCCTACCAGTTCACCCACCCCAGAGGAAAAGGGGTTAAATATTGTACTAAAATGTTGTACAGAACATACACATACTTCGAAGGTTAATGTAATATATAAATAATTGTATAAGATCCCCACAACATTTAATTCAGTGTCATCCAGATTTTAAATCCACACTACACAACAGCCTGCACTTCCATTGAGATAAAGCTAGAGCGGGGGTTCAATTTGATAAGAATTTTAAAAAATGATAATAATAATAAAAAATTAAAAACACATTTGATTTACAATCCTACACAGTTGTCAGTTATTAACAGCTGTCCTTGTTCTACATCTATATTAAGGAATAACAACATATCAAACATGATTGACCCTTCTGTCCAGCTCCTCTTGCCTGTAATTACACTGAACTTCTTACTGCCCTATGCAAATTTAGGAACCCATTCTAAGGATAATTAAGAACAAAATTTATGCCTTCTTCAGAGCTAACCCCTTGAAAGCAAAGGGTGCATAATATTAACCAGGCTTTCAGATAAGTTTCAGATAAGGTGGCAATTGGATAATTAAAAGACTCCATTTGGCACCTCTCTATACATTCTAGCTCAGAACAACCCTTTACTTTTAATGTTTATTTCAAAGTCCACTGAGTATCAAAACATTTAATTTTCAAGTTTTTGTCCCAATAATTACAAAATGAGTGTAATTAGTCATCTTGAGCTCTATGTGGAAGAAAGATGGCTAATAGATATTTTAAATAAATAAATAAAAATAGTTCCTCCGTGACATTTTTGCAAAAAATGTTTTCATTTCAGGTTGTAGTCTTATATACTTTTTTAGAAATAAGTTCCAATGAGTTAAACGGGTTTATGTCCTGAAGCATGGGAAACTTTTATTGGGTTAAATGGGGGGGGGGGGTTGTCATTTGACTTGGAAGCACAGAAGCTTTATGCAGTATCCCTGATCCTCCACATTTCTAGGTTAAGGGAGAAATGCTGTTCAAACAAATTACAAAGATGATATGACTCCAATGGTAACAAGAGAAAGAAATTTACTTACAAAAATAGAAGCACATTTTACATGACATATTCATGTAGATACATTTAACTGATTGTGAACAGATTAACTTCAAAAAGGAGCTACAGTTCCAAGCCCCTGTAAGAGAGAGAAGAGAGGTCCTATATATAAGATGAAACAGAAGACCATCAACAGCCAAAGAGGCTAAACATCTAACCCCTGAGAGGGTGGGGCCAGCTGCCAAGTGTAGGGGGAGTGAAAGAATTCTTTTAACCCTTTCCCTCCCAGATCCTCTAGTATGCAGAGCTACAATATCCAACACCCCTTCTTAACATCTTATCTAAGAGTTCTCAAGATTCAGGTTATTTTGTAGTTTTTCATATCTGTCTTTTGATAGCGGTTTGTTCAGGATGTCAGCCACCATCTCTTCTGTTGAACAGTACTCCAACTCTATTATGCCTTTCTCAGTTCGGTCACACACTAAGTGAAACTTCACACCAATGTGCTTAGTGCGTGCAGCCATTTTTTTCTGATTGAGAAATCTTAATGTTGAATTGAATTAAAGTTGAATTGGCTTTTGCTCATCAACTCCAAAGTCCTTTAGTAACTGGTCTAATCATAGTAGTTCTCTGGATGCTTCAGCATATGCTATATATTCAGAGTCTGTGAATGACAAACTGACTAGTTCACATTCTATTGGCCCAGGAGACTGGTCCACCTCCATACAGGAACAAGTACCCAGCTGTGGATTTATAGTCTAAACTGTCTCCTGCCCAAGCTGTATCCATGTAACCAACTCTGCCCAAGCTGTATCCATGTAACCAACTAATTTTAGATTACTGGAGGATGGCAATTTTAGTTTTAAATCTAAAGTTCCTTTTAGATATTCAGCCACTCTTTTTACTGCATTGCACTCTTTCTTGCTTGGTGCACTTGTCATTCTACTAAGAATCCCAACACTGCTTGTAATATCGGGTTTGCTAGTGGTGGTTAGGTATAGAAGTTTCCCTGTGGACTTCCGGTTGATGGCGGCACGCTTGCGGACTCACCTCCCGGACCTCCTGGGGGTATCTCCGTGCTCCGGTGGAAGGAGGGGGCAAGTAGGCTCATAACCCCCCCCAGGGGCCCGGCGAAGGGACCCTGGCCAAGGAGCTTCTTCTATGATGGAATGCCAGAGAATTGAGGCGCCCCTTTGCTCCGGTGGTTCTTCCAGCCGAGAGACCGAATGGTACAAGTAAAGCTAACCGAGTCAAGCGCAGGAGATCGGGTGTGAAAAATGATGAAAGAAGTGTGGTCGGAAGGCCAACTATGAACGTGAGTCAACTGGGAAATGATTTTTGAAAGAAAAGATGCTCACTGCCCTACTCCACGGAACGGGAAAAGCGAGCAGGGGGGGACACCTCCCAAACGCATAAACTGTTGAGTGGGGGGGGGAGAAACGCGATTAAATTGCCCAGAAGTACTTACCCAATCAAGCTAAGCAGTCAAGCGCATATTCAGAGACTTTTGAAAACTTTCCGAAAGTAAAAGATGGCAAGGAAGAGGGACAAAGACAAAGAAAGACTTTTGAAAACGAAACTAGAGTCCCCTAAGCCAGAAACGACCAGTGAGACGGCAAAAGCTATAGCTGAGTTCATGCGCCCTCTACTGGAACAGCTGAATAACTTCAAAGAGCAGATGTCCATGGTAACACAGAGCATTTCTGCGCAACAAACGCAAATAACTGATCTGATTCAAGTAATGAAGCAGGATGCTGAGAAAGTAAAGGAAGTAGCTGAATAAACGCAGAAAGTGAAGAAGAAAGTGCAAAAATTGGAAAAGAAAACCTCTTCTTTAGAAGATCAAATGCTTCAAGTACAAATGGATAAGGCCAACATGGTCCTGCGCTTCCAGGGGGTGCCAGAGAACAAAGGAGAGAATCTTAAAGAACTTATGAGTGAATTACTTGCCCCAGTCACAGAAATAAAGGCGGACTTGCTACTTAACGATATGGATGTGGCCTATAGGTCATATTCAGGATATATAAAGAAAAATAATCTGCCTGGGGAAATTGTAGTAAGATTCTCGAAGAGGCACATCAGGGATGCTATCCTGAAAGCAGTGGCTGCAACACCCCTGAAGGCAGGGGAGAATGCTGTTAGAACACTAAAGGATATTCCATTTGAAGTAAGACAACGCAGAAAGAAATATAAAGAACTTGTGCTCTTTCTCCAAACAAACTCAATTGGATATAAATGGCTATTTCCAGAAGGAGTAACATTTAAGATTAAAGAGAAGAAGGAAAAGATTGACTCTGTTCTGAAAGCTCAAGAATTTCTAAAGGAACAGCTGGGAAGGCCAGAGGATGAGAAAAAAGAAGAGGACAGCTGGTCCAGTGGCGAGCTGGAAACTGGTTCATCTGGTGAGGGCTCTCTGTCTGAGCGGGGGGCAGCAGCCCCGAAAAGTCCCTACAAGCTGCGGAAGAGAAGAAGAAGTAAAAAGGCTGAAGGACTCTGAATTGTGCCTTTGAGAACTTTGGTTCCTGGGGATGATTGGGGGCACTGTTATTGGGCAGTTAAATGTAAACTGGGAGGGTAAAAAAATTTAAAAGTTTGACACAGTTCATAAAAAGAAAAACAATGAAAAGACTGGATGTATAAAAGCTAGTTGGAGGATCGCCTCTCTTGGGTTTTTAGTTAGTAGTGGGTACTTTACTTTCTCCCGTATGTGTAGTTTTCCCCTTCCCTTTTTTCTGTTGTAGTTTTTTGCAGTGATAAAAAATCAATAAAAAATCCCCTCCGGGGGCTCAAAAAAAAAAAAGAGGTTTCCCTGTGGCATTTCTGTACTGGTTGTCTTTAGGTAAAGGCTCACTTATTTTGGTATTATTAAGAAAGTCAGTTTCCATAGGTGTTGCCACTGCGTTGGCATTTTCTAGACCTAATATCTGTAAGAGTTCAACTATTTTCTGTCTCTGGTTTAGGAGAAATTAACCATCCTACTTCCTTTCAATTTGTATGCACAAGTAGTAAGAAACATCTTCTAGCTCCCTAATTTCTGTTTCTCTGTTTAGGCACCCTACCACACTGTTATAGTCTGTTTGCCTGTCATAACACAGAATCAAGTCATCAACATATGTGAGAATATGTCATGGGCGGTGGCGACAGCGCCAGGCCCATGCCCAAGTTGTCAGTGCAGCCGGAGTCGCTGGTGTCACCAGAGCTGGAAGCTGGCTCCTCTGACTCCTCGGGAGTTGACAGCTTGCCGCCACTAGCGCCGGAGCCAGTAATCCCTGCACCTGGTCCTGCAGCAGCTGACGAGGTACAGGTGCAAACAGAAATCCCCCCTGCAGGAGCCGACAAGGTACATGTGCAAACAGAAAGCCCGCCTGATTCACCTCCACAGGTGGCTCAACTGAGGGAACAGCTCCATAGGGGCTTAGCAACCTGCCACTGAGACACATTCTGGTAGGGAAGGCGGGTGCCGAGCCCTGAGTACTGACAGGAGCGCCACCATCACTGAGGGAAGCACTGCCAGAGGCCTGTATAGCTCCCACTCAGGGTTGGGCTCTCTGTGGAAGCAACAAGTTGCATCCGTGCTGACCTTGCACCCACCCTCGGTTCCTGTTCCCAGATCTTGCTCCTATTTTGATTCCAGCCTTCTGACCTCCTGCTTCAGACGAATATTCTCTTGGACTCTTGACTCGGCTCCCGTTCTGTCTCTTCTGGCTATGACCCCCCCAGACCGGACCTGACTTCTGCCTCCTGGCCCAGCCCAGCTCATGACAGTATATAAGTACAATATCCATCTTTGTGTTTAGTGTACAGACATGAATCCGCTTCTCCTTGCTTGAAGTCTTGCACTATGAGCACTGCATGTAATTTTTTGTTCCAGGCACATGCTGCCTGTTTTAGTCCATACAGCCCTGTCTGCAGTTTGCAGACTAAATTTGGTTGTTTGGGGTCTATAAAACCTTCTGGCAGCTCCATGTACAGATCTTCTTGAACCTCCCCATGAAGAAATGCTGTCTTTACATCTAGATGTTTGACATGCATCTTCTTGGACCCTGCGATGCTCAAAAGTAATCTGATTGTACCATGTTTCACCACTGGTGCAAAGGCTTCATCAAAGTCCGTACCATGTTTTTGTGAGAAGCCTTTAGCAACTAATTTTGCTTTGTAACATTCCACGTTTCTGTCAGCATCTTCTTTGACCTTAAACACCCACCTGCATCCAATAGGATTCTTTCCTAGTGGTAGCTTTGTCAAGGTCCACATTTTATTTTTGTGTAGAGTATCAATCTCCTCTTGTTCTGCCTTCTTCCACCTACTGGCTTTGGTTGTTGCCATCTATCCTATTTCCTCCGAAGTACAAAGTTCAGATGGTAACACTGACCTTGCGAAGTAGGACAAGCAGAAGGTTAGAATGCCTTTGTTCAGTCACAATGAGCATCAGAGGCATGGTCTTGGATTTTCATCTGCTGTTACAGAGCTGTCCAGTACACCTGCACTGCTCTGAATCTCTGGCACGATTGCTTCAGAATCTGCATTCTCAGGTTGTGTGTCTTATTCTAATGTTTCATCATTGCATACTGGTTCAAAGTCAAGAGCCAGTACAGGTCATCTGCTTTTTCTGTGTCACATGATGCAGTCCCTTCTCTAGAATCATAGAGTTGGAAGGGACCTCCAGGGTCATCTAGTCCAAACCCCTGCACAATGCAGGAAATTCACAAATACCTCCCCCTCCACACCCACGGTGACCGCTGTTCCACACCCAGAAGATGACCAAAAACCTCCAGGATCCCTGGCCAAACCAGCCTGGAGAAAGGGCCACAAGAACTAAACACTGAGGCAACCCTTCCTGCCCTCCCTCTCATTATCTGCCTAAGTTCACACAATCAGCATTGCTGTCAGATGGCCATCCAGCCTCTCTTTTAAAACCTCCAAAAAAGGAGAGCCCACCACCTCCTGAGGAAGCCTGCTCCACTGAGGAACTGCTCTGTCAGGAAGTTCTTCCTAATGTTTAGCCGAAAACATTTCTGCTTTAATTTCAACTCATTGGTTCTTGTCCGACCTTCTGGGGCAACAAAAAACAACTTCGTACCCTCTTCTATACGACAGCCCTTCAAGTACTTGAAGCTGGTGATCATATCACCTCTCAGCCCTCTCCAGGCTAAACATACCCAGGTCCTTCAACCTGTCCTAATAGGACTTAGTCTCCATACCCTCACCATCTTCGTTGCTCTCCTCTGGACATGTTCCAGCTTTTTTATATCCTTTTTAAATTGTGGTGTCCAAAACTGAACACAATATTCTAGGTGAGGTATAGCCAGAGCAAAGTGGTACCATCACTTTGCATGATCTGGACACTATACTTCTGTTGATACAGCCCAAAATGGCATTTGCCTTTTTAGCAACCACATCACACTGACTCATGTTCAGTGTAAGACCCCTAGGTCCTTTTCGCACATACTACTGCCAAGACAAGTCTCCCCCAACCTATAATTATGCATTTGATTTTTCCTACCTAAATTCAGAACTTTACATTTATTCCTACTGAAATTCATTAAATGTGTTTTAACCCAGTTTTCCAGCCTTGCTCTGCTTTCATCAAAGTGAATCACATGCTTGACACAAACTTCAAATGAGAAGGGCTTACTTCCAAATACTCTAATGTGTCCCATGTCTGGCACCTTGCCATGGTGTATCTGGTAAGGTATATGTGTGCTCCCTTTTGTGGGCAGTCTGTTCTGGAGATAGTTTGCAGTCAGGATTGCTTTGCCCCACCATTTATTGGGTAGGCCTGCATTCATGAGTGTGCATTTGCTCATCTCCATTGAAGATTTCCTTTCAGCAGTGCCATTCTGCTCAGGTGTAAAGCTCATTAACTTCTTGTTGAGGATACCAAGAAGGTTTGTGTGTGATGTGATATAAACTCACCACCGTTATCTGTATGTGGCATTTGAGGATTTTCTTCCAAATATCTATGTATCTCTTGAGGAATTTGTGAACTTTACTCTTTTGCCTTAGCAGATATGCAACTGAGTATCATCCAGAAAGATTAAAAGATATCTATTTCCACTATTTGGTCTAAAAGGCTAAAAGATATGACACTGGAAGATGAGCCCCTCAGGTCGGAAGGTGTCCAATATGCTACTGAGGAAGAGCAGAGGGCAAGTACAAGTAACCCCAGAAAGAGTGAAGCGGCTGGGCCAAAGCCGAAAGGACGCTCAGTTGTGGATCTGTCTGATGGTGAAAGGAAAGTCCGATGCTGCAAAGAAGAATACTGCATAGGAACCTGGAAGGTAAGATCTATGAATCAAGGTAAACTTGACGTGGTCAAAAATGAGATGGCAAGACTGAACATTGATATCTTAGGAATCAGTGAACTAAACTGGACAGGAATGGGTGAATTTAACTCAGAAGACCATTATATCTACTACTGTGGCCAGGAATCTCGTAGAAAAAATGGTGTGGCCTTTATAGTCAACAAGAGAGTGCAAAAGTCAGTACTGGGATACAATCTCAAAAATGATAGAATGATTTCAGTGCGATTCCAAGGAAAACCTTTCAACATCACAGTAATCCTAGTCTATGCCCCAACCACTGATGCAGAAGAGGCTGAAGTGGACCAGTTCTATGAAGACCTACAACACCTCATAGAACTAACACCAAAAAATGATATCATCATAGGGGACTGGAATGCTAAAGTAGGAAGTCAAAAGGTAACCGGAATAACAGACAAGTTTGGCCTTGGAAAGCAAAATGAAGCAGGGCAAAGGTTAACAGAGTTTTGTCAAGAGAACACACTGGTCATAGCGAACACCCTTTTCCAACAACCTAAGAGGCGACTCTACACATGGACATCACCAGATGGGCAACACCGAAATCAGATTGACTATATAATTTGCAGTCAAAGATGGAGAAGCTCTATCCAGTCAGTAAAAACAAGACCTGGAGCTGACTGTGGCTCAGATCATGAGCTACTCATTGCAAAATTCAGACTTAAACTGAAGAAAATCGGGAAAACCACGAGGCCATTCAGGTTTGACCTAGATCACATCCCTGATGAATATACAGTAGAGGTGAAGAATAGATTCAAGGGTCTGGATTTGATAGATAGAGTGCCTGAAGAACTATGGACAGAGGTTCGTGACATCGTACAGGAGGCAGCAATCACCACCATCCCAAAGAAAAAGAAATGCAAGAAAGCAAAGTGGCTTTCTGATGAGGCTTTACAAATAGCAGAGGAAAGAAGGAAAGCGAAAGGCAAAGGCGAAAAGGAAAGATTTACCCAACTGAACGCAGATTTCCAGAGAACAGCAAGGAGAGATAAGGAGGCCTTCCTGAATGAACAGTGCAAAGTAATAGAAGAAAACAATAGAATGGGAAGGACTAGAGATCTCTTCAAGAAAATTGGAGAAATCAAGGGAGCGTTCCATGCAAAGCTGGCCATGATAAAGGACAAAAACGGTAGGGACCTAACAGAAGCAGAAGAGATTAGGAAAAGATGGCAAGAATACACAGAAGAACTATACAAGAAAGACCTCAATGTCCTTGACAAACACGACGGTATAATCACTGACCTTGAGCCAGACATCCTGGAATGTGAAGTTAAATGGGCCTTAGAAAGCATTGCTAACAACAAAGCTAGTGGAGGTGATGGTATTCCAGCTGAGCTATTCAAAGTCTTAGAAGATGATGCTGTTAAAGTGCTGCACTCCATTTGCCAGCAAATTTGGAAAACGCAACAGTGGCCACAGGATTGGAAAAGATCAGTATACATTCCAATCCCAAAGAAGGGCAACGCCAAGGAATGTTCAAACTATCGCACAATTGCACTCATATCACACGCTAGCAAGGTCATGCTCAAGATCCTACAAGCTAGGCTTCAACAGTACGTGGATAGAGAACTACCAGAAGTACAAGCTGGGTTTCGAAGAGGTAGAGGAACGAGAGATCATATTGCCAACATTCGCTGGATTATGGAGAAAGCAAGAGAGTACCAGAAAAATATCTACTTCTGCTTCATTGACTATGCTAAAGCCTTTGACTGTGTGGATCACAACAAACTATGGCAGGTCCTTAAAGAGATGGGAGTACCAGACCACCTCACATGTCTCTTGAGAAACCTGTATAAGGGCCAAGAAGCAATGGCAGAAAGTGAAGAGGACCTAAAAAAAAGAGCCTCTTGTTCAGAGTAAAAGAGCGCAAAAGTGGGCTTGAAGCTCAACATCAAAAAAACTAAGATCATGGCTTCCGGCCTCATCACTCCTTGGCAAATAGAAGGGGAAGTCGTGGAAGTAGTGACAGACTTCACGTTCCTGGGATCCCAGATCACCGCAGACTGTGATGACAGCCATGAAATTAAAAGACGCCTTCTCCTTGGGAGGAAAGCGATGGCGAACCTAAACAGCATGATAAAAAGTAGAGACATCGCCCTGCCAACAAAAGTCCGCATGGTCAAAGCAATGGTATTCCCAGTAGTCATGTATGGCTGCGAGACTTGGACTATAAGGAAGGCCGAGCGCCAAAGAATAGATTCTTTTGAACTATGGTGCTGGAGAAGACTCTTGAGAGTCCCTTGGACTGCAAGAAGATCAAATCAGTCAATCCTAAAAGAAATCAACCCTGACTGTTCCCTGGAAGGCCAGATAATGAAACTGAGGCTCAAATATTTTGGCTACCAAATGAGAAGGGAGCACTCACTGGAGAAGACCCTGATGCTGGGAAAGATTGAAGGTCAAAGAAGACAGGACGGTAAAGGATGAGATGGTTAGACAGTGTCATAGATGCAACGAACATAAAATTGAGCAAACTTCAGAGTTCGGCGGAAGACAGGAAGGCCTGGCGTGATCTGGTCCATAGGGTCACGAAGAGTCGGACTTGACTGTGCGACTGAACAACAAATCAAGTGGAGGAATCTGTGTTTTGTTTGTCAATAAAATAAAGAACGGTTTTCAGATCAGTCAGATCTCCACCTTGAAGCCCATATTTAACAAACTAGGGCCCCAGTCACACGGGCCAGATATTGCAGGGAGGAGGTGTGACTAATTGCCCCGGAGGAAACTAACGCGCAGCTGCCCAAGCACACATCTTGGTCGAGGTCCCGTGGGTAGGGGAGAGATGCCAACCAGACAGGTATCCTGCAAAGCAGCAGAGAAGCCGCGATCGCACTAGCAATCGCTCTTTGTGCGCATACACTGTTGGGCGCTGTTGCACAACTTGGGAGACAGACGCCAGATGCCATGTAAGTCCACTGGAAGCGATCAGACTCCCGCCCTTGGCCCATGCTTTCCAGAAACTAGTACCTAAGTACTAGTTTTTTAATCCGCACCTTCCGCGGGTTCGCCACGGGAGCAGGGCCTAGATCTAAATGACAGAAAACATGAATGGCCAAAAAGTTTAAATAACAAGACTTGCTGAAGGAAACCTCATAAACCTATCTGGATGCTTTAAGGGAGGTGGAACGAGGCGAACAAGAGTTCTTAGTGAAGGGAAGGGAACCCTCAACCAGGGCTAAGTTCACGCCCCAAAAGTAACGCAGTCAGAGAACCGGGACTGCGCGCGCGGAGAAGCCGTTGTGTGTCCCGGAACCTTCCCCGACTGGGGGAGAAAAAGGACGGTAGTGGGCGGCCTATTTCCCGCGCCGAGGCGCGAGATTTCAAATGTAGAGACTCTCCAATGAGGATTGTTTCCCGACTCTCCGCCAATCCAGACGCAGATTTGGGCTGTAAAGGTCCTCGCAAACCTCCTCCTTCCTTCGTAGTCGCGGCAGGAGCCCAGTGTAAAGGTCTGGCGTGAAATAAGCAAAACGGCTCGGAAGTCCACTGGCGGGAAGGCGCCCCGCAAGCAGCTGGCTACCAAAACCGCCCGCAAGAGCGCTCCGGCCACCGGGGGTGTGAAGAAGCCGCTACCGCCCGGGCACCCTGGCGCTGAGGGAAATCCGGCGCTACCAGAAGTCGACGGAGCTGCTGATCCATAAGCTGCCTTTCCAGCGGCTGGTGCGCGAGATCGCGCAGGACTTCAAGACCGACCTGCGCTTCCAGAGGACACCGGCCTGTGAGCCATCCACGCCAAGAGGGTGACCGACCCATCATGCCCAAGGACGTCCGAGCGGCGCCAAACCGCGCAGAAAACCCTGAAGCCTCTTTTAAGAGCCACTACATGATCCCAGGGAAAGCTGTGTTTGGGTCCAGAGTTGATCCCTTGTTCTCCTTTGCGTTGTAAGGAGGGAAGAGGGGGATGGGGAAAATCTACAGGTAACGGGCAGCCTGCTGGCAAGCACCTTTTTACATACACCGTGTCCCCCGTTTGTACACCGCTTGCCTGAAAAGGGTTTTTGAGGGAGGGGAAGGTTCGCGGAGGCGAGAGAGGCCAGAGCTACTCGGAATGGGCCTCGCAGCCCCAAGCAGTAAGCGGCATGTCTGCGGCTGGCTGGTTGGCTCTGGTTCCGTTTAGCAGTTCCCGAGGGAGTTCAAAAGGAAGTAGCCCGTTGGTGGCCTGATGACTCTCCACCTCTTTATATATACCAGGCAGAGTCTAGCCGCCTTAAAAGTCCGGAAGCCCATTCTGACTGCCTGGCCCAACCCAGACACGGACTGACTCACACGGGCTGCTTGAACTGGAGACACCACAAGCTGAAAACCTCGAAGGTTCCACTTGCAAAACGTTGCCTGCGATTGAGCCAGAAACAATCTGTATTTCCAAGGAGGTTTCACAGGTCTTGTCAATTTACCTAATGCAGTCTTCAGCCTCTTAAGCAGGGGTCATTTCGTAGAAAAAGAGCTGCAGGAGCTCATTAGCATAACTTATTAGCATATGCCACACACCCTGACATCACCGGAAGTGTGCACCAGCCCCTCTGACAGGCAGAAGCACCTGGGATCCATTCTTTCCCCCCTCTCCATTCCCTTCGCCTCCAAGTCAGCGAAGGGGAGGGGGAGGATCTCAGGTGTTTCTGCCTGACAGAGGTGCTGGTGTGCCCACAGCCAGCCTGGGTGAATTATAGAATCATAGATTCATAGAGTGGGAAGGGATCTCCAGGGTCATCTAGTCCAACCCCCTGCACAATGCAGGAAATTCACCAATACCCTCCACACACCCCAGTGACCCCTGTTCCACGCCCAGAATATGATTTTTTTTAAAAACCCAGGATCACTGGGGGCCAAACTGGCCTGGAGAAAAATTGTTTCCTGTCCGCAAAGTGACAATCAGCATTTCCCTGGGGATGTAAGAAAGGGCCACAAGAACTAAGCACTGATGCAACCCTTCCTGCTCTACCTCTCATGATTTGCCTAAGTTCACACAATCAGCAATATGATCCTTTTAAAGTTGAAAACATGATATAAATGCAAAGGGCTACTTGTAAGATTATCTGTAAGACAAAAGACCAGGACACATCTCACTTCTGGCAATCACTTGGAGAGACCCTATCACTCAGCTTCCATTGCCCCACACACACCCCACACTGGAATAAGAACATAATATCAGGCCATACCACATTGCAATAAAGCTCCTACAACTGTGTACAGAAATACTGAGCTTCCCTACCATTTGCCACAACTAGCCCACCACACAACCAGGATCAAGACTCCTAAGTGGACCAACAGACAGGCATACACTCGTTTGAGAAACTGAGTATTACATTACAACACCTCTGGAACATTACAGATCAGTAGAGGCAGCACTGCACAGTGGTCAGAGTTGCAGATTGATGTGGGGAGACCCAGGTTTGTATTCTCACTCTGCTGGCTGAGTGACCCCGGGCCAAATCTCCCCTTCTCTACCTAACCTACCCCACAGGGTTGTTGTGAGGATGAAATGGAGACTCATGGGCAGGGTCCCCAGCTTCCCTGGCAGGAACACTATGTTAAGAAATCTCTCACAATTATGCAGCCATAGCAGGCAGGAGGGAAGGAAGCGAATACCTCCCGTGCCAGAAACTTGTAGAGGAAGAGTCAAACTTTGGGGACTCACCCGTGCACCAGAGGGCCAAGGCAGCAGGAGGAAAGAAGCCTGGGCAAGCTGGGCTCCTCCATGCCTGGCAGAAGATGAGGTGCAGAGGCGAGAGATGGGCAAGCAGAA